TGGACTGGTAATATTTATACTACCAATAAATACACAAAATTGCATTCATCTTGGAAAAAATTCCTGAGCGGAAAATCTTTTTATTTATTTGCCATTCCGGAGGCAATATTAATCGTTCGTCTGGGAATAACCCTTAAATCCTCAAATATTATTATTTCGCATGGTTTGCCATCTATGCTGTCAGTCAGTCAAATTATTTATTTTTGCGAAATTTTCTCTTGATGTTTCAATAACCCCAACCCAAAAAATACACAAAGAAATTTGAGAAATTACCAAGAAAACACTTTTCTCTCATAAACAAAGGAATATAAGGTATTGCACCTGTTAATAAAATTTATGTTCGTTTTTATTTTTTCTTTTCTTTATTACGTTTAAATAACTTGAGTCTTGGGAATTGTCTACTTTTGTTACCATTCAAATGTAATTGGAACTCTACAATGTGTAACCTAATCAACAAATTTCCATTCTGTTCGCACACTGTTTTCATTCAGGCATTCAAATTGCTTTGACTGAATGTGGGTCTTTATCATTCATTTATTACGATTATGCTTCTGCAACTAAATCCCACTCTTCACCTCCGGTTTTGGCTGTCAGCTGGCCAATATCAAATTACGCTTTGGGCTTTTATCGCTCATCCAATTCACACACACACACTCACACACATAATTTTGGCCAGCATGCAACAGTTGGTCTTGGGTTGAATGTCTTTGTGGAAGTGGTTTGTGCAGCTCTTGATTTCGATGCATTCTCGCTTATTTATGCAAAGCTGTCTGTAAAGTATTTCCCACCTTAAATGAAGGCACTTAAAATGTTAACCAGTCAGTCGCCCAGTCACCTGCCAAACACGATGATGTGTTTGTAATTTGCTGGATGTGCGTGTACGTGTTAACCTTAAATACAAATAAAGTCAAATTTGGCATGCAAATCCCTGGGAATCAAACAAAGGCAATCGCAAGTGGGTTGGTCCTGGGCGGATTGGATAAGCCAAGGCCAATAAACGTCGCCAGGCGACACGCCAGCTGACAGCCAACTCTTTGCTTCTTTTTTTTTCCTCCCCATCCACAAGGCAAGTACATCACAAAACAAATTGGAAAACATAAAATCAACAGAGCTAATAGTTCACTTAGGGGCGCAGAGCCGGCGACAAAAAGTACGCCACGAACCGAACTGAGCCCTCAGAAATTTAAAATACGGGGAGGTGAGTCATTGTATTCTCTTCTATTCTTATTTTTGCTTACTTCGTTTTAGTACATTAAGTTAAAATAACTCATAAACCAAGACCGGTTTTAGATCAGATCTGTGGTAAAAATATTATTCAAGGTTCTGTAGGTATTAGATAATTTTTGTATAATTATAATATAATTTTATAATATTTTATAAAAGCTGTAAAAATGTTCAATATCTTGGTTGAATTTTTTGTTTATAAATTTTAAATAAAACTTCTTAGCTATTAGGACAGATCAAAAACTTAAATTTTATTTACAGAACAGTAGATTTCATTAGTTGTATATATTTTTTAAGGGTATTACTCGACCATGTCTGACTTGGTGACATTTTCCGCCGGTTCTCCGCCTTTTTTTTTTGCTGTCAGAGCAAGATGGGTCTTTGGTCTTCGTATGACATAGTGGCACAGTTTCCCGTCTTTCGCCTTTCGTTGGTCGTCTGTGACCACGGAGCCCTTTCATATGCCCCTTAGTCATATTGAGCCGATTTACTATTGAAAATAAAATTTTATTAGAATTTCCCTTGCTGCTTTTTTGTGTCTCCTCCCGCTTTTCTTCGGGGGTTTCTCTTCAATGGGTCTTCACCGGCGGTCTTCCCGCCTTTAAATGTGCAACGCTCCGACGACTTTTCAATTTGATGTGCGCAACTTTTTACGACGCTAACCACTCAGATTTGCCGCCTTGGTCGGGGTATCGAATTTGATTTAAAAAAAAAAAACCGAGGGAATACTTTTGCCGGTTCACGCAGCTGTTGCTGCTAGTTTGAATAAAATTTTATTGCTTATTGGCTACAGGAATTGCATATGCATATGGCATGGGCCAAATGGCATGCCATGAGTTTTTGACCGATCGGCGGATACAGGGCGGAAAATCATAATGACTCGTAAATTCATAAGTGAAATACATGGGTCTTCGATTTGGGCCAGCCAGGGAGTTTTATTTATTATGACTGTTCTTTCGACACTTTCGTGGGCATTTACATGAATCGCGCTGCGTCCACGCCCAAGTTTGCCGGTTAGGCCCCAATAATCGGCCGTACGTGCGTCCCATTCTAAACAAACAGACGGAGTACTATTATTGGCCTACCCGGGAGTCAGACAATTGCGAGGGTACTAGTACAGACGAGGGCAAGGCAATAGAATTTTGGGAACATAATTCATAGACTTATACTTGACTTAAATTGTCTTGAATTGAAATGAAAACATTGATTTTGATTTTTGAATTCGAAAACAAAATCTATTTTTTTATTTAAAAATAAAAATAAACTAACATAACTATATTTGGTTAACATTTTTGGTATTGTGTTTATATTTATATAGATATATTTTTAAACTGCATTCGTTATTGAATGTATTGGTTCATATTGAATCTTTAGACCTAATATATCATCCTCAGGTGTAGTTACATCGAGGGGCACTCCGATCGGGTAGAGGGAATAAGGCCAGAAGGGTCGCCTCTGACATTGGCCACGCGGTCCATGTTGCACGTGCTGGCGGCTTTTCCGTCTGTGAACTGCATAAACGTTGCCTCATTATGTCAGGGAGCCAATTGAGGGAAGGCCAAGAAACAGAAACAGGAGAGACACGCAACCAGAATCGCCAGGAATTCATATGATAATGCTTGAAAATCAAATGCCTCTTCGGGGATTGTTCAATTTGTAGGGCTGTTTGTTTTTTCCATCCAATGATGTCATTAAGTGGCTGCAGCAGATTGCTGAAAGAGCTGTTCGGATTAGGAAGACTTCCGTTTAGAAATGATGTAAGGCCACATATGGAGACAGCACTTTTTCAGTTGTCAGTTTGAAAAAAGTCAAACTTTTGGATTACAACGTTTTTATTCCATCTCTGTTTGCGCTGAAAGCTGAAGAGTAATGTTTTTTTATACGTGACGCAATTGGACATTTATTTTTCACGTGAGGCATGTTCAGCATTCTATAAAAAAACGGAATCAGAACAATGCAAATTTTTTTCTATTTTCCCTAAAAAAAAGAGCCCTACAACCTATTTCACGTTTATTATATTAAATGATATAAAGCCAAACATGTATAAGCATCTTTCTAATTTAAAACATTTTTACTTTTAACCAATCATTTTATTTTCTGCTTCTTAATTAAGACTTTCATATAATATCTTTATACTTATTACTCATCATATTTTATGACTTTTCGGTTAAAAAAGCGCTCGTAAAGATTTTGTTATTCTTCCGAAAATTAAGATATAGATCAGCGGTCTGTTGCAAGTCTATAATTTATGCAGTTTCATAGAAATATAGCTCAATTTGTCGAAGAGCAAATTTGAAGACCAGTCGCTTGCCGAAATGTTTTGAAAGAGATGTCAACTGGCTAATGAGGAATGAATACACTTTTACTTAATGCCGACAATTGAAAGTAATTTGCATTCCCCATCGGCGAGAAAGTGTTGGCTCCAAACATATATTCTTGTTCGATTCTTGGTGCGCCTAAGTCGCTCTTGATAAATATTAATTGTTCGGAGACAGTTCGGGGTCAGCGACATAGTTTCTGAATGTAAATTGTATCTGTATCTGCTGGGTAACTGGCGCTAATTAATTGCGTTATAATATGAACACATGACAACTGGAGTAATTGAAAGTTGCTTGGGAATTTCGAACAAAATGACTTTATCAGTTGCCCTTGGAATTGGACAATTAGGAAACATGTAGAAGCTGGGATCAACAAATGATTTATTGGCTGTGGACTGTAAAGTTGACAAAATTTGTATTTATGGGATAATGATTCACAATGATCTCTGAACTGCCAACTGACACAGTGCCCCTGATCAAAAAAGTAATTTTAATCTTCGGATGTTTAAAGTTCAAGGTGTGGCTCTAGGTTTTGTAGGCAAACAGATACACTGAAAAAGAGAAGTGACTTGGGTGGGGTTTTAATGTTCAAATAGATGTGGGAACCATTTTTGATGATAATAAGACATTTGACCTTTGACAAGAATAAAAAACCCTTTATGCAGATATAAAAAATGTTGGATAGAAATGACATCAGCAGATACAATATAACTCAAATAAATAAATGAACAAATTTATTTTACATCTCATTGAAAATATTTATATATAAGTGGCTTGTCTATTATTTCATATTTTGAATTAAATTTTTTTCAATGAATAGGGTTATTTTGTTTTAGATCACAAAGACAAGAACAATTTGATAGGAATGATTTCACGTTCAAACAATCTTTTTGTTCTGGGTGCTCTCCTCTGCCATTCCTAATTACCATTATTTTTGTAATCGTGCCTTTTGATCTCCCTTTTTCGATCCCAAAGAGTGATTCATAGTTTGTTCCGTGGAAGACTGTGAGTTTTCGAGAACCAACTGCAAAGTTGTGTGGCTTCCAGACGAACTATCTTTTGGGTGTGTGCGATGGCATGGAAATCGCATTGGGCAATGGGAAAGGGAATGGGAATGGGACAAGGGCTTTTGCGGTTTTCGGGAGGTAATTACAAAATGTTTGCAGCGATGTGGGCCAAAACCGAGGGATGCCCGTGCGCATAAAATTTCAGCAGCGAGTCAAGTGACTCGTCCTGCCAATACTGGTGCCCATAATTGCGGGCGGTGGATAAAGTGTCTGCGGTTGGTTTATTTCCACGCATAAGTGTCCGACGGAGCGAATTGTTTCTGGTCGCAATTGCAGCTGGCCACATTTGCGTATTGGTTACCGATTCCGACTGAATCGGAAGTGCCTCTTTAATCTCATAATTTTTCAGATTCAATTGGCTGATTGCGAATATATGATTTACTCTTTGCAGCACTTCGTCTCTCATTAAGATGCGTGTGCCACAATTTATTTTGGGTCTGATTTGGACGCTTCTAGTTCCAGCACAGGGTTCTTTTGACCTTGTGGGGCAGTCTATCAAAGGTAAGATTATTTATTTATTGTATTCAGAAGTTAAGTTTGAATATGGAATGTATCTTTAGATAAGATCGCTTCATATATAAAAGAGTTGAACAATTAATCTTATAAATTTACCTGAAAAAAGTTAACAATTTACAAAAACTGGTTTCATTACTTGCACATTTTAAATATAGCAATAAAGATTTTTAAACCATATAAACGTTAGTTATTCTGAAGGCTATCTTATGCATAAGCAATAAACGCTTGTACAAATTTCAAAATTTAAATAGGCAATTTTAAACATTTTTTATTATATTGGAAAGCTTCTTAAAATCTTAAAATGGCTTGCATTTATAATATTTTTGTTGATTCACAACGTCACAGTTTATAGCATACTTAAGGTTAGAAATTATCACTGGAGGTCTGTAAAAACTGTTGCCTACTTTCGAGAGCTGTGACAGAACTCCAGTGGCTCTCAAACTGCAATAAAGCGCTACTAGCTTTTGTGCTGCAATTAGCGAATCTGAAGCACCTGTTTTTGGCCCCTCTTTTTGCAGATGCCCTGGCCGAGTACACGCTGACGGACATCATGAACAACAACCAGTTCGCGGGCATCGAGTTCGGGGAGGCGGAGGACGGCTTCCCCGCCTTCCGGTTCCTGCAGACGGCGGACGTTAAGTCGCCGTACCGCATGCTCCTGCCGGAGAAGCTGTACGAGTTCGCCATCCTCATCACTTTCCGGCAGAGCTCGCTGAAGGGCGGCTACCTGTTCAGCGTGGTCAACCCACTGGACCGGGTCGTTCAGCTGGGCGTCCACCTGTCGCCGGTCGTGAAGAGCAGCTACAACGTATCGCTGGTCTACACGCAGGCGGACCAGAGCATCGGCCGCAAGTTGGCCAGCTTCGGTGTGGCTCACGTGCCGGACAAGTGGAACTCGATTGCCCTGCAGGTCCTCAGCGACCGTGTCTCCTTCTACTACGACTGCGAGCTGCGCAACACCACGCTGGTCACCAGGGACCCCGCCGAACTGGTCTTCGATTCCGCATCCACTCTGTACATTGGACAGGCGGGCTCCATCATTGGCGGCAAGTTCGAGGTAAGTTCTGGCGGCGGCCAATTTGATTACCTTTGATCTGCGATCTGTTGCAGCGGGGGAAAAGTTTTCGAAACGCAGGCGGGCACTCACAGGTTGCCCAAGATTTAATTGAACTGGAATTTTATTACCGAACGGGTGCGGGTGGCAGTGGCCCTAAGTGGCTTTTTAATTTCTGGTCGAAAATAATTGCTTTTTGTTTTCGGAACTATGTCTAAAACCAAACTGTATTCTATTTCTTTGAATTTATTTATTTGTCTGGGATCAATTTCCAGTGATGTAAGTTCGGCATTGTGTTATGGATTACTCAAGTATTCCGCATTAGACATTCCTGATTTCCCAAAGGTAAATAGTTAGATGAATATAGATTTAATATATACATATAGCTAAGATATATAGATAGATATATAGATCTTGTAATTTATAAATTAATATTAATAATATAATTTATAAATTATATAATTATTGTAAATTATAAACTAAGTTTACATGAATTTTCCATTGGATGATTGTATACAACATTGTATTATGTAGATATGTATTAATAATACTTTCCTAGTTGAGAAATTAAGAAAAATGCCTTTCATAAATAAGACACATTTTGTTGTAGTGTAATTGCATTCAGCATTTGCTGAAAGCTTTTCACCACTTTGCTCCTGAGCCACCCTTAAGTGGCGCCACTTGGCCATCTGGCGGTAGAAATTGGCAGCCACTCAAGGGAGCTCGAACCACCCTCTTGAATTTCACTCATTCAACCACTCGAAATTTACTCAATTGCTCAGCTCAGAACTGCAGAGCACTTGAAACCTTGCGTATACGCCATGTGGGCTTGAGTTACACTCGAAATATTGCGTATACCCCCCGTTGACTCACTCGATACTTGTTCTCTATCTCATTCTCTCACTCTCTCATTCTCTCTGAGTGAGCAAATTCAGCACTCGTGGTTATTCAGCTAACGAGTGGCAGGCACTCGGCCCAATGTGTTGTCTGTGGCCCGAACAGATTGCTGTGATTTGATGGGCCTCCTTGGGCGGCGAGTGCGTTTACCTTTTCAGTTGCGTTCGCGTTTCCCAGCAGTTCAGATGGCCACGCGGCCGTCGTTTCTAAGATGAGCTTATCCTCGCTGCCGTGCGGTCGGTACTCGTCCTCATCGTCCTCGTCCTCGTCCACGTCCACATCGGTGTCCTGCTCGTCAGCGTCTTCGTCCTGGCTGTTGTTGGACGTCGTGAGTGCGGTGGCAGCTGGTTATGCTGCTGCTACTACTACAACTCCTGCCGTTGCTGCTTTAGCCCCGAAAAAAACAACTGCACAAGAAAAAGCCCTTGTGCTGGCTTAGTCGCAAAAAAGGGAAATGAAAGTGATTTATACGGCCAAATGAAATATGCTCGCCTAAGTGAACCGACCGCCAGCCGGGAATCGAGTCAATTAAAATTCAATTATGCGACCAAAGATGAAGGAGAGGCCGCGAAAGCGTTTGAAAGTTCGACCGCTAAACTGAACCGACCTGACTGAATCGCAAGTCCAAACTGCCATGCAAGTGTTCCCAAGCATAATCCCAATCGCAATCGATCATATCACAAGATCCAAGCACATATCGTGAACCAAAAAAAATAAGGAAACAGACTTATCAACTGCAAGGATAAACGCCAGTTATCAAAACTGCAATTACTTTTACCCTCTGTTTCTGTTTGTTGAAATTGTTATATCGTTGTCGCAGTTCGTTATTTGTTTTTTTTTTGTATCGCGTTGCGGCTGCCGGTTGTAAAAGTTCAAGAAGTGGCGGAAAAACGAAACGAAATGAAACGAAACTAAAACCCAAACTCAAACCAACTGTCTGACCCCCACCAAAAACTCCACTCAGCGAGCTTGTTCGAATGGAAATCAATCAATTGCACAATGGCAGAATGGCAGAGTGCATCTGGTGTGAAAAAGTGAATTAATTGCACAGCACGACGTCAAAACTAAGAAACACGCCGAACGGCAATTTAACAATACAAAAAAAAAATTGATTCGCAATTAAAACAAAAAGCGAAACCAACATAACAAGGCTGTCGTTTGTAATTACAAATGAGCCTCTGAAAAAAAGTAGCATACACAATTTACAACTATAATAAATTTTAACGCAAAACTCAAACCTATAAATAAAGCAAAGCATTTGCAATTAAATTATCTGTGATTTTTGTCAACATATTTAATATTTCGCGCGCGAAAAGCCATAATTTAAAGTGAAAAGTGAGGTCCCAGTGCGTTCGGCTTAAAAGGTAAATAGAGAATTGAGGCTTCCTCGCACCGCAAATGGTTTGGAATGTCGCCCATCGCCCATCGCCCATCGCATTGAACATGGTTCGCGCATAATTTATGACGAGCCTGGTGGCAGGGTCAAAGCCCGCAATCCTGGTACCCCAAAAAACAGGCAGGATATACTAGAGAGTCCGTTTGGATTGGCTGTGGGTGCTGCTTACTCGCTGTGGCACGCCTAAATCAATGGCAAACTCATTAAAGCGCCAGCGAAAACAGTTTTTGCCCCGACGCGTCACTAACCACTGACTGAGCTTCATTCCCTTTTTTCACTTCCATTTCCACACAGCCAGCACTTTCCACCCATCGCTCCTGCATATGCATATTAAAGCAGCACTGGGCGTATGCGTAATATGTATATATGTATACATTTATAATTCTGTGGGCTGCCCAACCAACCAGCCAACCAACCAGCCAACCAACCAGCCCGCCCTTTGTCTTTCGCCTTCTCTGAGCTGCGCGTTCTTCGCATATGGCCGAAAGGCAAAGGAAAATACGTTTTATTTATTAAATAAAAACGCTGGCTGGCGAAGGCAGCAGTCGAGGCTTGGATTTTAATGGGCATCGTGGCGGATCAAACAGAACAGAAACAGAGAAAAGGCTCCTACGCGCCATAAAGCGAAAGTTAACCCTTCCGAAGGATTGTTCCTGCTAGAAGTTGAAAAGTACATCTGGCCATTTTAGGTCGGTGTTTCAAGTTTAAAGGTCCTTGGTCATTTTGCCTGCATTTAATTGCACAAGAGGCAGGCTGAAATTTCAATTACAAAACAAACTTTGCTCTGCAGTTCTTGGCCTAAGTGATCATAAATATTCATGTTGCTCCTCTACTCTACTGTGTGTGTTGGATGCTAATATGCATTCAGATATCACAGCCAGATTGTTTTGCTGTTGTTTTCCACAGCTGACTTGCATCATCCTCCCCTCGCTTTCAGTAATATGTAATTTTGATTTGTAAATTTATCAATTTATCATCATAATGCAATATTAGGGCCCATTATGCTGACACAATTTCGAAATTCAATTTGAAATGTCTGTTTACATATTCGACCAAAGCCACTCCCTCACTGACCTTTCCAATTGTGTTGGAAATTAAATTTCTACTAAACACTAAGGTCGCCACCACATGAAATCGACCAGTTTATATTGTTTTGTTTTATTTTGTTTTGTTAGTTCATAGTTGGTCAATATGCTACATGTTGAAAAACAGACAATGCAGCTTGGTTTAAAAAATAATTGGTTTGCTGTTTTTATTGCAAATCTGTTTGCTTAAATTCTCAGCCAGCTGGCTCGTTCTTATTAAAGCTAAATAATCCTGAAATTTAATTCCATACATTTTCTACGCATAAGGATTTGAATGTGATTATTATTCTCTGATGGTTGGCTCACCAATTATACAACATAAATATATCTCAATTTTGTTATAAAGTTTGAAGGAGCTTGTAAAATTTTCATTTTCTCATAAATCTTTCTTCACATTTGTTTTGATAATGAGTTTTGTTTTCTTTGCTCGAATAAAACGACATATTTCACTGGGATTTCCGTAGTAAATAATTGACAGCCATGGCCGTGCTTTGATTCCTCGAGTCATTTGCCGAATTTAATTCGGCTCGAAGGACGGCCATGAGCATTTTTGCCCCTTCGGCAAGAACACATGTACGTACCTTTTGTATTTATGCCATAAATGGGTTTTTTATTACGTCTAGAGCCGCTGGTCGTTAAAGTCGTACATATTCGGTGCCTATTTTATGAACCTGGCGGGGCTGATGATTCTGATTTCTGGGAGCGACATAAAACCCTTACAGAAATGCGAACGGAACGGAAATGTCTTCGATGACAAGGGGGAATGGAGCATCGACAAACTATGATTATTTTGTAATTTTATGACTACCCAAAAGGCAAAAGGCGGAGATTCGTTCCAACCAATGGGGCGTCACCAATAGACATAAATTATGCAAATTTTAGACTTTAATTATACGAGCTGATAGAACCGCCCAGTGTTCCGTTCCAGCCCGATTATTTGGGTTGTTATTAATTAAGCAAAGGCTTCATGAGCGCGTTTTAATCATTGGGAACACGCGTCCCCGTTCCCATCTGCATGGGAACCATATATGTATATATATCTGTATAGTAAAGTATGTGGGGATATCTTGGCTTTTATATATGACTGGAAGGAGCTGTCAGGCCGGTCTCTGCTTATCGATCAAACGCTCACAGAAGTCACAGAAGCCTGAGGTTAGACATTAGACATTTCTTGCACTGACGGTTTGTTTTGTTCCGCCCTCGTATTAAGGATACATGTGTGACAAGTCCCCCTCCCACACCATTTCACACCCCTCCACCTCCATTTTCCTCCCCCCCAACGACCTTGTCACAGATAACTGCAGACAAAGACAGACCCACTGAAAAAGGGAAATTTGTGCGGAAAACGGTGCTTATTAAAAATTACATGTCAAACGGAAAAGCAGCTGAGAAAACCCAAATCTCTCGGGCACACAAATACAAACACCAACACACACACATATACCAACACACGCTCACCTATGAGATGACTGTGCACAAAGCATTTTTGGCAGAAGGAAACCCTTTTTAAATATGTCGCCCCATTATCTTCATTAGGCGCTAATGTCCAAAAAAAAAAAAAAAAGGGTTTTTCCCATCCAACTACTGCCCTTTGCAACTTTGCTTTTCCCTTTGGGTGAATTTGA